GTCCCACTTCCCCTCAGAGCTCTTTCATTGATAAACCGTTTGTGCACACTTGTATAGTTTGGACTTACACGACTCGAACTTCCTTCTAGCCTAGCCACAACTACACACGATTCTATCAACTACTTCTCCGACCACGTCCCGTGGATTTTACCTCTCGAATTCCTCGAGCTAAAGACAGTACTTAATCCCTAAGCACTAATCACACAAGTGTTTGAATGAAAAACAAAAGAATCAAAAGAAAAGACTTCAGTTCTTCGATGTCGTAAGAACACCGAAAACTGAACAACGAAAATAAAACCTAAAAGGCTTGAAACTCGAATATTGAATGGAAGATAATGATTTCAGCAGCCTTCATTCGATCTTCAAGTAGGGTATATATACAACTCCTTAGGCTTGGAGTCTTCTCCAAGTTCTTTCCTTCTTTCACGATCTCTTTTGATCTTCTTCCCAAAAATAGTGTAGTAACATAGAAAGTAAATCTTCCTTGATTGTATGTGATTTGGAGATCTTCAGAATTGAGTTGCCAATGGAAATCTTCGTGGTTCCAGACTCGTGTAAGAACACAACTTTCCTAAAATAGCCGATCTTCCAAATCTTCAAAGATCTTGTGGTGAATCTTTCCAAATCCTCCTTAGATCTTCTAGATAACGTCCAGAATTCCTTATGCACGAATTGCTCATCCTTTCATAGTCCTTGCCACCTATTCCTTGTCCTACAAGAGAGAGAAAACTAATTATGGCATAGAATCAAGCTCATTAATGCATGTGGCATATATGGTAAGTACATATATAAGATATATATTATGTAATCCTTCTCCTAAAGGTTTAGGATTCCATAATACACATTATAATAAATATATAACATATATTATTAATAATAAATGATAGGAACTTAATTAATTAACAAGTAAATAAATAGAAAACTTCCCTTTATTTTATTTTGCTTGCCTAACAAGAAAATCTTCTAAAAAACACTTAGGTTTTTTGGATGATGCCAAACCAATATTCTTACAAGCTTGTCTTCACTCTTTTAATTTTAGGATGACCTCACTCTCCTTTAAAAGAAAGCTCACCTTCATTAGATCACTATTCCATCTCCTGCCTGATGAGTCAATGAGGTCTTGCACCAAAATCAGATATGCTCTTCTTTGGAGGTTAATAATATAAAAACGATCCTTTTTCTTAATCACTAATTTTAAAATGCTCATACCATCCAATTTAACCATATGATAGCTAGTTTTTCAAGGTTAAATATCAATGGCATTTGATCGTACGCTAGTTATGTAATCGTCCGAACACACATACGCCCAAGTCCACTGCAATTCGTAACTCGTGTAAGATAGCTAAAGCTTCCGCCAAAAGAGGAGAAAAGGGAACCCGTCATATGGGTAGCAAACGCAATCATGCATACTCCTGTAGATTCCCGAATCTAACTGCATAGTCCGACCTCCGAATCATAAACTGCCGCATCATAAAGGAGTGTCCAGCCATCATAAATTGAATAATATTATAAAAAAGCATATTTGATCACATATGCTTATAGGAGTTTATATAATGATATATTTGTATGAGTTAATATGTATATAAATACATAATTCATTTATTTATTATACTAGTAAAGTGCACGTGCGATGCACGTGGTGGCGAATGTTTTTTCCCAATTAAGTTTAGTAAAATAAATTAATTAATTTATTAAAAATATCGTTGCAAGAATGAAATAAAACGTAGAACAAATGAGCTCATAATGTAATCGTTTTTTGCCGATTAAGTTTTGTAAAATAAATAAATAAATTTATTAAATATATCCTTGCAAGAATGAAACAAAATGTAGAACAAATTAATGAAACAAAATATAGAAACAAATTATTTTTTCTAAAATAACTTAACGATGTCCTAATATAAAAATAATTAAATAACATATTACAACCCTAACAAAAACATTAAATAACTAAATAATGACTAATATATATTATACATGCATTAGTTCTTTTATTTGTTTATGTTAGATGATTCGATAGCGTTCTCTTTCATTTTGGTTTTGACGTCCTCATAAGAAGCATTATTGATTCAATAGTATTGCAAAATTCATCTTAATTCATTTGGCAAAACGTCTACTTTATTCAAACACATAAGAAATAATCTAACCAAACATATAGTGAAACTTCGTGGTTATATTATCTTTATATTTCTACTAACCATGCATGAATATATCTGCAAAATAATAAATCGTGTCATTAAAATTGTTGATTATTTTTTATCATTATATAAACTATTAAATTACTCTCTCTATATATATCGACAAATTATTGATACCTACCCCATGGATGTATCTCCCTACGGAAGGGAATGAATTTCATCTCTAAATAAAAGTTGACTATTCAAAATATCTATTACATGTACTTTTCCCGAGGTTTTTTTTTTAAATCATCACACATTAACTAAAAGTTCATACTATAAAATAATTGCACATATGTTCAAGCACAATACACCAATGAAATTATAAATATTCCTATAAGAAGTGTCAACTTCATTCAAACATTCAAAAATGTTTTGATCAGGCTCCAACGTTTCATTTTCAATGTCATTTATTTGGAAGATAGACGAACTATATAATCTATTGTTTGCAAATCATTGACCATCTAGTTCTTGCAATGATTTTAGAATTATTTATCTTCATATCTTTCACATTCGTTTGGATTTGTAATATTTATGTGTCCAATAACTTTTTAATGCTTTTATCGTCCAACTTTATGCATCATACATAATACTCAAAAAAACTCGAGATAAAGTTCCTTTCTTGATTCTTCACCAATGACAAAATCAAACAAAACAAAACAATGAGACAACATTGAGAAGCATATCATTTGTTAAAATATTTGAGATGAGAAGAATTAAAATTCTATTTTATGACTCTTAGTCATCTTTGAACGTTATTATTACGAAATCATTATTAAAATCTACATAATGTATTATAAAGTTTTAAATTTTTAATTATTTAAAATTAAAAATTGATAATATAGGATCATTATTTATGAGATCCAATTTCTTACAGAGTCCATATATTTAAACGCTAGCAACAAATAAAGTATTATTTTTAAAAGATTTTTTATTTCTAAATATTGGTATTCATACTTGTCTAAGAAAATTCAGACGTTTTCTTTTTTCAATTTCAGTACTATTATTTTATTAGTTTTTATTTCTATTGATAAATAATACTTTATTTATTAAACGAATTCTAGCACATTTATATGTATTGCATCATTTTTTGTAGGTGTTTCATATAATAACGTTGTTATCAAAATATCTTATTTATTAGACAACAACTAATATAATCACATAAGATAAAATAAAATTTAATATTACTTATTTATATATTTATAATAATAATATATTTAATAAAAAAATGTACTTTTATACTGATTATTAAATTAAAAGGTTTAGAATTTTTTCCCAATGTTTGAGAAAAATATTAAGCAACTAACTCATTTTCATACTCATTGAATTTATGTGTTAGTTGAATAAAATTTCACATACAACTCGTTTATTTCTCCTTTTAATTCACATAGTTAATATTGGTGATAGTTGTATATTTACATCCATTTTTGTTTTCTCTTAGTATGAATTTTCGGATCTATGTAAGAAAAATATGCCACAAGGAATCTAATTCTAGCAAAACTATTTTATTGGAATCATGAGCAGATCTATGTTTATTTTATAGATCCGACACAATCCTCATCCTAAAGCATATAGCGTAAGGAATCTAATAAAAATTTGTGGGAACATTTTTTCATAATTTTTATCATGTCCCCTATTTTAAAAATGAAATTGAAAGAAAGAAAGATACATAATGAATTAATTCACAACTCAACCAATTATAATTTAATTCAACTCATAACTTTATTAATGTTATAACATAAACGCGGCATCACAAGTAAAGAAAATATAATATATCTCAAAATTAAAATTTTATCCTCTAATTATATTATTTCAATCTTGATGACAGTTTCAAATCTCTCTTTTGCAACATATTTTTTTCTATATCTTCAAAATATATTTTTTATGCCTTTTATAACTAATGCAAGGGTAATTCTAGTTATATATTCGTAATTTATAAGTTAATCAATTATATTGCCGAGTCAGCTATACTACAACATAGATTTTTTGTTTATAATTTTTTAAAAAAAAATATTATTTTCAATGATTTTCTTATGTTGAATTGAGAAAAATCGTCATTTTTTTTATTAAATACTTTTTAACTTATTGTGACTGTACTGATGTGTTAGAATGTATTACAAGTTAGAAACATGTCAAATTATGTAAAGTATAATTAATAAATTGTAATGGCATTATGTTATTTTGATGGTATACTTTTTCTATTAACTATATAGTGCCCAATATAAAATTATTTTGGATCCGCCACTGCACTTAGTTTTCCAATGGAACTTCTATTAATTTTTTTACAATTTCAATGACAGTTTTTTCAACGGTTGAAATACGATCCGTAAAAAAATTCAACAGAGATTCAAACAATAATAAATTATAGTAACTGGAATGATTTAATTCACAAAATTTTCAATGTAATTTAATTTGTTCTCTGTTGGAATAGTTAATGAAATTTTCCAATAAAAGCTTGACCAATGAAATATCCGTTGGAATTTTCTTTGGAATACCTTACAGATGCATTTTCCATTGCAATATACCAACTTTTTTTTTGTATTCCTTCTTAAACATTATATTTTAGGTAGTAGTTATTGAGTAACTGTGTTTACAATTTTTCTAATAACATACATTAAACACATGAACTTTTTAATCCATATAATTTTTTTAAAGTAACTCATTATTTTATCTCAAGATTACCTAGTAAATTCCCAATTGAGTTACATTTATTACATATTAAATGTTAAAAATTAGAGTTGATTGAATAAGGAAGGCTGACAAGGGTTGTCCGACAACCCGTAGCCGAGTCGGTCCGTAGGACCAGGGAGGGCCCCGTAATTGAGCTTAATCTGTGGCAGCGAATCTGACACGGATTATAATCAATGAAGGGGACAGGCCACTGTAATTGGCCGTGCTCTTCCGGCCTCGAAAGGAAGGTCCGGGCACGCAGGGCAGGTCTTCTTCCTCCCCTCTGTTCACAGTCCAGAGAGAGCAGCTTTATATATATATATTATATGTACAAAGCTAATAGCAAATATATATATATTTTTCTAGTTGGAATACTGAGTCTAGTTAGGCTTTGATGCAGTGGGTAGACTCCTTATTTCATTTTGTATTCTCGGGTTGTTGTTTGAGGTTCTAGGCCACTTCTAGTGTGCCTCTCATGTTGTATTTTTATTGGTTGAGTAGTTCTTGTTGTATTGAACATTGTCATCATTTGCGGTTATTAATAGTATCCCTATCGTTTTGGAAAAAAATAAATAAATAAATAAATAGTAATTTAAAATTAGAATAATCAAGTGTTCTTTTTTTCCCTAACCTACATGGATAAAGGTAAAAATAACTATTGTATATCACCTAAAAGTTACATATAGAATTAATAAGTACAAAAATTAACATGCATTTAACAACCCTGCTCGTTTACATTGATAAATAAAGTTTTAAAAGGTTTATGTTTACTTTATTTTTTTTATTTTATATTGTTCTTTCATATGTTTTTAAATTTTGTATTTGCTTAAAAATTCATAATATTATGTATAGAACTTTTTTGGTCATATGTGTTAATGTATCAATTATTTGTATATCTTAATATTATATTATATACAATTACAGTTTTCTCTTTAATATTATAATCAATTATTCATAATTTATAAATTAATTAACAATATTGTCGAGTCAACTATACTACCACATAGATTTTTTGTTCATAAGATTTTTAAAGAATATATTATTTTGGTCATATGTGTTAATATATAATCTATTTATATATCTTAATATTATATTATATACAATTACAATTTTCTCATTAATATTATAATCAATTAGTCATAATTTATAAATTCATCAACAAAATTGTCGAGTCATCTATACTACAACATAAATTTTTTGTTCATCAGATTTTAAAAGATATATTTTTTTCAATGATTTGCTTACTTTTAGTTGAGAAAAATTATATTTTTTTTGAATACTTTTAACTTATTGTAACTGTAAAGATTTGTAAACATGTATTACAGATGAGAAAGATGACAAATTTTGAAAAGTAAAATTTAAATATTGTAATGACATTATGTTATTTTGATGGTATATTTTTTCTATTAGCTAAATAGTGCCCCCAATATGAAATTGTCTGTATCTATCACTGCAATTAGCTTTCCAATGCAACTTTCATTGATATGTTCCCAAAAAGAAAATTCACACAAGAAATAAATAATGGTAACTCGAATCATTAAATCCATTAAAATTCCATTATAATATAATTTGATCTATGTTGGAATAGCCAATGATATTTTCAAATGAAAGCTATGCAAATGAAATATCCTTTAGAATTTTTAGTGGAACATCTTATCGTTGGATTTTTCATTGCAACATAACATTTTATTTTTTGCATTCCTTTTTAAATATTAAAATTTTTATGTTGTAGTTTTTCTATTAATTGATTGCGTTTACAATTTTTTTTATTAAAAATATATTAAACACATGAACTATTTAGTCTATATAACTTTTTAGAAATCACTCGTTATTTTAACTCAAGATTACCTATTAATTTCTCAATTGAATTACAACCTTTTTACGTATTAATATTAAATAACGAAAATAATTATTATTTTATATTGTAATATGATATTTATATATTATATTAAAAAAACTAATAGCAAATAAAAATTTATTTAAAATTAAAATAATCATTTTTTAAAATATTAAAATTTCCAACCTACATGGATAAAATTACAAATAACTATTATCTATCACCTAAAAGTTACACATAGAACTAATAAGCACAAAAAAATAAAAATAAATAAACAATTCGATTCATTTACATCGATAAATATAAGTTTTAAAAGTTTTATGTTTAATTTTATTAATTATAAAATTTTTATTTATTATTTGTTTTCATATTTATTAGCAAGCCTTACACCTTAATTATATTTTTAATGTTATTCATCAGATTTATTATTTTTTTTACTTTCAAATCATTCTTTTATTTAGCACACATCTTTAAAATCAGTGGCTCATATAAAATAATAATAATTAAAATCTCATGATATTTTACTTAATTATTGAATGTAAAATTCATATATTTTAAGTGTTAATAATTAAAATATTACTCACTTTGATATTAACCATTTAATAGTCAAGTGAAAATTCGTTAATTTTATTCACTTTGTGACTAAAATTGGAAAAAACAAACAAACAAACAAATGACGATTTTTGTGTGATCAAAATTCCATCCAGTAAGACTAAAGTGCAGTTTCTATTCTAATTCTAAATATAAGATTTTACTTTTCTTAAATAATGAAGTAGTAAAATGAATTGTTCAACTTTTCTAGTTTGTCAGATAATGTATAAAATTATATTAAAAACAAGGATTTTTTTTAAAACAACAATTCTATATCTTTTCAAAACTTTATTGTTTAGGTTGATGTTAGGTTGATTTTTGGGAGATATGTGGAAGAAAGCAATTTCGTGAGAAATAATGGTGCGTGAATATTGTGTTTGATTTTTAGGAGATGTGAAATATATTGTTCATGTATTTGTATTTAAGTAATTAAGCATTAGTTATTAATTAAAATTATAAGATATGATAGATATTAGTGTATTACTAATTTGCCATTAAAAACATGTTAAACTAAGGATTTTTTAGGTAATTTATTTTTTTATTTAAAAATATAAATTAAAATATGTATTACTGTATTACTAATTTGCCATTAAAAATATGTCAAAGTAAGGTTATTTTAGGTAGTTCATATTTTTACAAAAACACTCGTCCTTTTAAAGTAGTGTATAGATATAGATATAGATTTTTAGGAGATGTGAAATGTATTGTTCGTGTATTTGTATTTAAGTAATTAAGCATTAGTTATTAAAAAAATTATAAGATATGATAGGTATTAGTGTATTACTAACTTGCCATTAAAAACATGTTAAAGTAAGGGTTTTTTAGGGAATTTAATTTTTTATTTAAAAATATAAATTAAAATATGTATTACTGTATTACTAATTTGCCATTAAAAATATGTCAAAGCAAGGTTACTTTAGGTAGTTCATATTTTTACAAAAACACTCGTCCTTTTAGAGTAGTATAGATAGATATATATAAGATGAGTTAACAATACAAAAATATATTTATTAAAATATAATATATTTTTTTTAAAATAAACTAATTTTAGTATTATCATAAATAAGAAAATAAAATTAGCATAAATATTTTTTTCAATAAAATATTGATAAACGATAATATAGGATGATAAGGTCTATGAATACCGGTCTTATTTCATCTGCATGTCAAACACATTAATGGAAACACTTGTTCATTCATTTCTCATACTCATTTCATTCTTCAATTCATTCAATTTCTATCAAGTTACGTTCTATTTAGTGCTGTTAAATAAAACGAGCCTGGCTCGGCTCGGCTCGAGCTCCGCTCGTTAAGGATCGAGTTCGGCTCGAGTTCTTGGCCTTAACGAGCCGAGCTCGAGCTCGAGCTCAGCTCATTTAAAGCTCGTTTTGCTAACGAGTCGAGCCGAACTCGGCTCGATAAGGCTCGTGAAGGCTCGAAAATAGAATTTTTATATAATTTTTTATAGTTCGGCTCGTTAAAACTCGAGATCGGCTCGTTAAGACTCGAGCTCGAGGCCTTAACGAGCCGAGCTGGAGCTCAATTTCAAGCTCGTTTATTTAACGAGCCGAGCTCAGCTCGACTCGTTAAGGGCTCGAGTTCGAGCTCGAGCACCCTAAGCTCGAGCTCGGCTCGGCTCGTTTACATTTCTAGTTCTATTATACCAATCATGGCACTAATTTGGAATCCATAAAGTCAAAATTTTCTATCCAATTACAAGAATGGGAAAACTAAAGAATAAAATGGGGTGATTCTTTTGCCAAAATTCATTTTAACCCTCGAAGTTTCTATTCCGCCACATAACCAACCGTACCATATACCATAGCCGTTTTCACCTCATTCAGTAAGCTTATCCAAGGGAAAAAAACCATCCACTGCACTGTTTGCATCAACTCACGCACTCTGCATCCTCTTCCTTAATCAATGTCGACCCCTGAAAACCCTATAATTCCCGACTCCGATTCCGAAATTGAGAACTTTCCGAACCCTAATCCTGATTCTATTTCCGATTCACTGCGCACGGCCAAGCCGCCGAGCAAAACTGCCATTTGCCTAATTGGATCTGCAGGTGACACTGCCGCCGGTGCTTTCATGGGCTCCATCTTTGGCTTTGGTGAGATTTCATCGTCTCCCCTCCCTGTCTTTATTTTTGTTTTTATTTCATTTTTCTGTTCACTTGTCCGTGTTGATTGTTCTCGTTTGTTGGATGCTGAACGTATTGCCAATGTCATTCTTGGTGGACTGTCTTTTTCAGCACCGTGCGTTTTACCTAATCATACTTCGCTTTCCTATGATTATAATTTTTGTGTGTGCTTATTGTTCTTTTTGGGCATATGACTGTACTCGTGCGTGTTTGTATTTATGTGTACCGTTTATATTGTTCAAAATTTATATATTGAGTGGCATTGTTGTTCTGTATAATACTATAATTGCATGTTTCTTTTGTTTTTAGATAGCTCGGTAAGTTGTTCTATTTCAGCTCTTATGCTCTTGTTGAATTATATGTTGTCCAAATTGTGGAGTTGGTTAGCTACTGCTATTACTTAGCTATTTAGTGCCGTCCTTTTGATTATGATCGAGCAAGTCTTTGTTCACGTGTAAGGGGCATTAAGCCACGATTTGATTAATGGTCATAAGATAATATACTAATATTTTCATGATTAGAATGTTTTGTGTTTTGGAAAAAAGTGTTCAAGGGAAGGGAATAAGGTAATTTCTTCACTCTAGCTGCGCTTAGTTGTATCAAAAAATTGATTAGTATCATGATTGTGCTTTAGGAAGAAACCATCAAAGTTTTCTATACTCTAATATTTGGAGTATATTTGGAAATTAGGCTCTGGATTGATTAAGAAGAAAGGATTTAAAGGCTCTTTAGCTGAGGCGGGGTCTTCTGCGAAGGTATGAGATATACACAAACATACACATACATATGTATACCCCTGACCTGCTGTTGATGAATGATCCTCTAGTATAGATTGCAGATTTCATTGTCACATGTCATGTTGGACTTTCTAATTTTAACTCATCTTGCAGACATTTGCCGTTTTATCAGGAGTGCACAGTTTAGTTGTTTGTGTTTTGAAGAGATTTCGGGGAAAAGATGATGGTATAGCTTTTTGTTATATTGAAATATCTTTTCTTTATATGTATCTACTATTTTCTGACTCTCTCTCTCTCTCTCTCTTTCTGCAGTCATAAATGCAGGAGTGGCTGGATGTTGCACTGGCCTTGCGCTAAGCTTTCCTGGTATTTCGACCCCATTATCTCTTTATTTTTTCTAAGAACAATGAATGAACATTCATTTTGCACTTTTATGAGACACGTATAGTCGCCGTTGAGTATGCTTGGGAGCTTCTAGGTCTTAAGAGGGTGCTCGGTTGAGCTTATAAATTGTTCAGAAAGCTCTGAAAGATACTTTTTTAAGTGCTTGAGCTAATTCTATTTCTCAAAAAAAGGGAAAAGCCAAAAAATTTTTTAAAAAAACAATCCAATTGCCATCCACCATAGGATGTCGAGTTTATAGTTTCTTAAAAAATGTGGAACCTCACTTCATTTGCAATTTAAACCCTGTTCACCATTTTCCTTCATCTTTGACCGTTTGAATTACTAGTTACTACACTGACATTATCCATATTTTATGGTCTTCGTCATACTTCATCCAAACACTTCAAACGACGTGTTTCCAGAATATGAATTTAAAACATTTTAACTAGTAGGAGCTTATTGAATCTTTTAAAAATGAACTCAAACAGATAACCCTCTTAAGTTAATTTAGTGCCCCGCATGCATTAGCGTTTTTGTGGCAATGGTACAATTCTAGAACAGAAAATATCAATGCATTGAAGTACCAAATCTAATCTCAATCTGCTCTGCATCTAAGATATTAAAACAGGTTTTTGTTTCCAATACTCTTGCACTCAAAGGAACATAGCCGCTAATCTCTGTTCATAAATAGCAATGCTAACATTTTTGGTTAACCTTGTATGAGTGATGTCATCATGGTGAACATGTTATTAACTTGCAAATGCTGTTTATTTTCTGTGCAGGTGCTCCACAAGCTCTGCTCCAAAGCTGCCTGACGTTTGGGGCTTTCTCATTCATAATTGAAGGTCTTAACAAGCAACAACCAGCACTTGCTTCCTCACTTAAAATGGGTGTCAACAAGCAACACTATGGTGAGCTTCCTCCTTTATCACTCGCCATCCCAAACGAGCTCAAGGAGTCGTTTTCGTCATTTTGCCGGTCCATTAGAAAATGATGTGGTGAGAGTGCCTTCGTGTAGTGATTTAAAAAAAATGAGAAAACGGACTGTGACTCAGCTTATTTATGGAGTGTTGTGGGCTGATGGTCTTTGTAAATTTTTGTTTCTTGAGATCTTGAAATCTGATAAAAATTCGACNTGGTTAACACAGTGTTTCGTGTATTGATTTAGAGAGAGAGAGAAAGGGAGGGAGAGAGAGAAATGGTGAGTGTTGTGGGCTGATGTTTGTTGTACATTTTCGTTTCTTGAGATCATGAAATCTGATAAACGTGTGACCTTTTTCAAGTGCAAAACTATGTTACGACCCTTCTCTTCTCCCTCCCTTCCTCAAGTGGCTCGTCACCTTTCCCCGAATAGATCAAGAGAGGGACCATTGCCTTAATGAACCAAATGTTCGCTAACAAAAGTTCACTTGAGTTCGCTTGTATTCGACAAAAGTTCGTCCGTTTGTTAATAGAAGCGAGTTCGAGCAAAAAATTAGGCTCGTTTAATAATCAAACAAACATGAGTTCGTTCACAAATATTCGATAATGTTCGCGAACATTAATTTAATATAATTTTATTTTTTTTATATATATATTATACTTTTAATAAATCTAAAATATAAAAAAAGAATATTTTATTTTTCTATTTTCGAGTTCGAACAAGTTCGAAGTTAATCAAACATATTTAAAAAATTTATGTCATAAATTATTCAAACACAAACGATCCCAAACTTTGACGAACACTTAACGAATGATCTCGAACACAATTATTTGCACGAAAAATAAACGAACAAATATGAACATTGTTTGAACGTAAACAAACACGAGCTTGAAATGCCCAAGGTCGGCTCATTCGGTTCAATTACAACACTGTTATTACCTATCTATCATTAAGGCTCATTTACAGACATATTCTATGATTTGAAAATAACTACACAAATACAACTCAATTTATTTTGTTAGCATTATTATTGACTCTATGCCAAATAATTATGAATATGCCTAATAAAAAAAACAGGTATGTTCATTAATTTTCGTAATTGAATGTTCTCTCTTTCATCCTTAATTAATTTACCTTAATAAAAAAATTCATCTCTAAACAATACTCTCCCTCTCTCTCTAGTGGATGACGGATTCCACACCATCGTCGGAGAGGTTGGTGGAGGGGTCGGGGTCGAGGTAGTTGATCCGGTGGAAGTAGGTTTTGAGTCGGTCAAGGCCGGCGGTTTTCTTGCCCTTATTACAGTCGACGAGTTTGGCGAAGGATGAAGGAGGAAGAAAGGGATGATGGTGATGTTTGGGTAGAAATTGGCGGCGACGAGGCGGATAAATGTGTAAATAAAAACGCAACATATACTGAAAATATCCAGACTATCAAAGCAACATATCTTGAAATTATTCTTATGCACGTCTTTCACAAAGTTTTGACGTTCGTCGTAAAGTCTTGACCTCTTTTACTTATAATTGCCGATTTAGTTGATTTTGTCATTCATTTTTCTTCTTTTTTTTTTAGTCGGATAAATGTGGTTGGATAAGTATGTAAATAAAAACGCAACATATATTGAAATTATACTGATTATAAAGGCAACATATACTGAAATTCTTCTAATGTGTATCTTGCACAAGATTTTGATGCTTGGTGTTAAGTCTTGACCTTTTTTTTTTTTATAATTGCTTANCTTATAAAGTATTTTACATATCAATCTTGTATAGCTTGTTGATATAAAATTAATTATAAAATATGATAAAAAAATATAAACAAAATTCAAACATCACAAATGTGGTTAGATAAATGGTATGTAAATAAATACGCAACATAGACTGAAAAATATACTGACTATGAAAGCAACATATATTAAAAAATATTATGATACCCGTCTTGCACAAGATTTGACGCTCGTTGTTAAGCCTTGGTCTTTTTTTCTTAAAATTGTTGACCTGATCGATTTTGTCATTCATTTTTCTTTTCCACTTGGGTTATTACTTTCAACGACATTGTCGTCAGTTTCCATCTCATTTGTGGCGCAGCAGCGTCAACGTTGAAAGCGCAGTAAGGTGAAGACTTTTCATCCACCGCTTCGTTGGGATCCCCTTCGATAAATATGATTCAGAGTCAGTGGGTCGCCAAAGTGCACGTGTGGCGCGACTGCTGGCACATTCTTCTGAGGGAATGGCGACATTGACCAACTCAACGATTTTATCATGTAGACAATTAAAGATAAGATTGGTGGTGGTTCCAAGTCATCCCACAGCTACGTCAAATCATATACGCCAAGGATCGATAATTTAAGGATGTCTGTTTGATATTAGCTTCCCAAGTTCCAACAGTTTGATGGCAAGGGAAACCCGAAGAAACAATACCCCACCTTATTGAAACATGCAACGATGCGGTAACACATGGCGTTTATCTTGTCAACAGTTTGTTCATTCACTCAAAGGAGTTGCATTTGATTAGTACATCGATTTGGAAACAAACTCTATTGATAGTTGAGAGCAAATGTAACATAAATTTCTTAGTCGCTTCTATAGCGCAAGACGTACGATAAACATGATCGAGCTCACTATATATCGACAACGGAAGGAGGAGCCAATCATATACTACATAAATAGGTGGAGGAATTTGAGTCTAAATTGCAAGGATCTTCTGTCTAAGGCTTCTGCCATCGAGATGTGTATTCAAGGAATGAACCGGAGTCTTCGTTACATTCTTCAAGTGATTCGACCGAAAAAATTTGAGGAGCTAGCTACTCGAGCCCATGACTTGGAATCATGGCCGTAAGTGGAGGTAATGTGCCATCAATCCAAGAATTCCAAAACTCTAAGGATAGATACAAGCAAAGAAAAGGGGACAAGTTTTACCAAAATCTCAAAATAAGGAGTCCATGATGATCAACGTTATGCTGGTCAAATTCAAAGGAAAAGTTGTTGATAATGTGCAATTCGGCTAACACTCACAGCGCAAGCATGTTTATTGATTTGTCACAAATCAAACTTAAATTGAACTGGAATAATCAAATAATCAGTTTATTCATCAGTTAACCAATTATTTCGGTTAACCAAAATAATTGAAATAATTTATTATTTATATTATAAAAATATATTTAGCATTTTAATATTTATATACATATATATATATTCAAAACGATAGATATTATTTATATTTGATATTTTATATTTTTTTTTGGTTGAAAAGACATAATATATAAAATACTAAAATCAACAATGTGGATTCCCACATACACTAATGCGCATTTCGTATAACATTAATGTGCAGTCTATTTAGCGAGTAATTTTTATGTGCATTTCAATTGTAGTAAACTTTAATAATGTGTATTTCAATCAATATTATTTTGCATTTTTCAAATTATTTATATAACAAAATTTATATTTAGTATTTATATTTTTATTTAATATTTATATTTTTGTTTGTTGAAAATAAATAATACATATAAATAAAATATAAAATTATTAGTTTTATATAGGTCGGTTATGTTATATTTTGTTTTTGTAAATAAAGCCGAAATCGAACCAAAATAATCAAAATTTTAATATATGTGAAAATGTGCAGAATACACAGTTATGGTAATGTGCATTCTCGAACGCATTAATATCCATTTGGTCTAACACTATTATGTAGCCTGACAATCAGTAATGTGCATCTTATTTAATACTATTGTGCATTCTGCAGTGCGGGTTTTTTTATATGCAAATCTAAACTAAAACCAATCTGAAATAATTGGGTTATTCGCTTTGCTCGCCAAACTAACCTAAATAATCGAACTAATTTTTTATTTATATTGTAAAATATATTAAGTATTTTAATATTTTGTATTTAATATTTTATGTTATTTTTTGTTGAAAATACATAATATATGTATAAAAATATATAAAAATAATATTTGTTTATATACTTTTTGTCAAGTACACATTTGACCCATGTACTAAATTGAAATATATTAAAATTTTTAAAATTGCAATCAAGTCCTTATGACTTATCAAATTTTTAAAAAGAAGCCCTTAAACTCAATATAGTTGCACCTCCTCCACCTGTTGCACCTCCACCATCCGCGCTCCGACAACGTTCACTGCCCGCCTCAACAGTAGAGATTAGAAATTGCGCCGGTGTCTCGAGGGTGAATTATCTTGCCGCGAGGGGAGGGGTGGGGCAGAAAAGGAGGGCGACGCGGACGACGGGGTCGGCAGTGGACGACCTCATGGAGTTGCAAATCTCCCGCCACAGCCAATTGTCGCAGTAAAGGTAGAGAAGCTGCGGGGAGGCACAACTTGCGGCGGCGGTGATGCTCCTGCTGCAGTGTGTCAATGGACTCCAATAGTGGCAGGGATGCTCCAACGGTGATAGCGGAGCGGTGGTTGTGGGTGGCGCTAGGTGGGCCGTCGGCGGGAAGATCGACGACGATGGTGGGGTCATGTGTGTGTGTTTGTGTTTGTGTAATGTGTGTGTGCGTGTCTTGTGTGTGTGTGCGCGTGCGCTGATTGGGTATGTAAGTAAGAAAGGAGAGGAGTGTGATGTGGCGTGGGACCCACTAGGGAGTGAGTTGGTTTGATGCGTAATGATAATGTCCATATTATCCTTAATGAGTGTAATATTTTATTTTTTTTTAGCCGTTTGATCATTAATTTGATGAATAAGATTTATTCTTATTACTTTTTACTTTGTGTTTACATCTTTAATTTTGTGATAAATATTAAAATATTCAATTAATGTTGTAAAGGTTATGTTTTTAAACTAATTTAATTGTGTTATTGTTACATTAGTAATGGTAATTAACATTATATTTTGACATAACAGTTACAATATAAATATTACACATCTCTTCTTTTAATTGTAAATTTATTTCAAAATTTGGACCTCAAATTATACATAAAGAATTATTAGATGAAATAATCTAAATTGTACATGTTTTTTATTATATAATTAATTATTAATATAATTTACACGACAAATCTCTTAAAAAAATTTAATTTGTATAGTATATAAGGTGATCCATTTTAAATTCATATATATTTTTTTTTTTACTTTGGTGGTACTGGTATGATTGTTATTATTAATATAATGCTCAAAGTATATAAAAAGTTATATTTATACAACAATTATCATTATTATATGTAAAATTCCACACGTATATTATCTTTTTGTTAAAATATAAAAATTAAGCTAAGATGTATTAATTATTAAATAAGTTACTAAATTAATGGAATAATTCAATTATAACATTTGATTTTGATATTCTTTTTATATAAAAAGTTGTTATTTTTTTTTTGTGTAATAATTTGAGCATTACATATGGATTAGTGGCCATTATGTCTAGGAAAGGGAATTTAATAAAAAAAGACCACGACCTAATTGAGAAGCAAAACGAGGGTGAAACTGTAAATTTCCTTCTGTAGGGTTTTTTAGCAGGGCTGTATAAAGCCCCCGCTAGCATCTGAAAAAAGTTCCTTCTGTGTTGGCTGTGTGGTAGTGCCGCCGTCTGTTTCTGCATTCGACCGGTGATTCGTCGGGACCGTAGAATCATCCGCCTGCAACCATGGGTAAATCTTCACCGAATATTTTACCATTTTCCTTTTGACTTTGTTAAAGTTCTGTTGAGGAGCTGATTTCGGAGTAATGGTGTTTGTGCGTAGGTATTTCTCGGGATTCCATGCACAAGAGGCGTGCGACTGGAGGAAAGAAGAAGGCTTGGAGGAAGAAGAGAAAGTAATTTGATTCTCTGCTTTTAATCTTGTTTGTAAATGGTTGCACATTGTTCTTACTTCTGCTCTAAATCTGTTTTTACCAAGCGCTCATTTTTCACGAATCAGAAACAGATATTGGATTTTATGTTCACGATCATCAGTGGTGTACATCTGTTCCGTCATCTCATAGTTCAGTCGCTTCAGTGTCATTAAATTTGTTCAATGTTTTGTTTCTTACTACACCACAAAATAGAGACATAGTTGTTTAGTATTCCATTGGATATGGAATAATTTCATTTTCATTTGTCCGGTTAAATATTTCCCGTTGAAGTGCCATTATGTACATTTTTTTTTCAATTAAAAAATCTCTCTGTACCATCTTAATTTCCTTTCTCATCCCATCACCACAACTTAAAATAATAATCAATAATTTTTATACATTTTCTAACAAGAAAATACTATTCATTGATTCACATATTTGTAGCTACCAAATATTATCAATCAGTATTTAATTATTTGTATATTACATAAGCTAATTTTACTTCTTGATAGACCTTGCGAGATTATTTTCTTTTAAAATGTCTATCTAATCTTTATTGTTGTCAAATCCGAATTCGATTGCAATCATACTATGCCTGTATGCCACATTGTAGTTTTCTAAATATGTTATTCTGCAACTAAAACTTGATTGTGTGTTTATAAGGTATGAGCTTGGAAGACAACCTGCAAACACAAAGTTGTCGAGCAACAAGACTGTCCGCAGGGTGAGGGTCCGTGGAGGTAATGTGAAGTGGCGTGCCTTGAGGCTGGACACAGGAAACTTCTCGTGGGGCAGTGAGGCTGTCACCAGGAAGACTCGTATTCTGGACGTTGTTTATAACGCGTCCAACAATGAACTGGTTAGGACCCAGACTTTGGTGAAGGGTGCTATTATTCAAGTTGATGCTGCGCCTTTCAAGCAGTGGTACCTCCAGCATTATGGGGTGGACATCGGTCGCAAGAAGAAGGCCGCTGCCAAGAAGGAAGGAGAGGTTATATCTAATAATGCACCTTTTCTTTTTTCAATTTGGCATTTGATTAGATGTCTTGACATTCTCCTTCTGAATTGCTGCGTGGATTGGGTTTTTTGGAGTTATGATATTAATGGCATTTCTTTCTTTTTTTTTTATCATGAATTGGGTGGGTTTCGATGATGCTCATTGTGCTATGACTAGTTTTGTTTGTATCTTGAGTTTCACTGGGAAAAAAAGAATTAGAAGCATTCCAAACAATAAGGAATAAAATGTCATGTCATGTAAACTGGCTAACATAGTGTTCTCAACCGTAAAAGTTGTGGAAAAATGGTTAAATAGCAGGTGGCTAGACATGTCGAAGTCTGTACAAAGTTGTTTGTAATTAGATATGTTTATTGATTTTGTAAAATTATCCATCTTATATATATATTTAATTTATTTTGTTATATGGACCTTAGGAAAATGAGGCTGCTGCTGGGGAAGAGGCTAAGAAGAGCAACCATGTTCTAAGAAAACTTGAAAAGAGGCAACAGGACCGTAAAATTGACACTCATATCGAGGAGCAATTTGGTGGTGGCCGTTTGTTGGCGGCAATCTCCTCCCGCCCAGGCCAGTGTGGGCGTGCTGATGGGTACGTATTTTTCTCTAAATTTTTCGGTTAACTTTCATGTGCTACAGGACATGTGGTCGTTTTTTATTGCGCAGCAATGTGCCGCATGCTAAATATCTGCATAATTTGAGCTAAAATGCTAAAACCATATGTGCTCACGACTACTGGCCATTTTCTTTAAGATGAATGTTTGATTGATGATTAACCATTTGCTTCGTTTTGAAGGGCAGTGTTTAAATCTTTATGTAATTTATGAAAGTAGGATGGCTCAGGGCATCCAATTATGTAATATATCTGTTTCTGAAAGCACTAAGTGCCGTGGTGACATCTTTTTGTGTCTTGTGGTTTGTAAATTGAATATTACAGTTATATTCTGGAGGGCAAGGAGTTGGAATTTTACATGAAGAAAATCCAGAAGAAGAAAGGAAAGAGTGCCGGGGCCTCTTAAATTACTTGGAGCTCCTTGTAATTTTCCATTTTTCCGCACAACTGTTGCTTTCTTTGTCATTGCAATGAGCAGGACAATACTTTGCTTGAGCTTTAGAGATATGTTGGACTATTACCATTTGTGGCGAATGTGAGATTTTGTTTTTGTGTACAATTAACCAAGCTTCCGTATTTTGTTGGCTGATTAATTGCTTTAGCCTCTAGTTTTTGTTGCTATCATTTTCATTTGTTACTTGTTTACAATTTCATTTCTTTTTATGCAAATTCCATAATGGATCTAGGTCAATCGATTAGCACTTTAAACACTGTTATTTGCTCATCCATTTATCTTTATCGATCAGGGAAAAGGAAAATAATATTTTGCTGTTTTAAACACTTAATTTTGCCTTGGAAGTCATTTGGGTATGAGAAATAAGTGTTGACAAGGACTAGGGGTGAGTATGGGTCGGACGTTTCGGAGATTGATAAATTTCTAGAACTGTACTGAAGTTCGGAGATCACTAAAATTCGATATCCAGAACTGTATCAAAAAATTTGTTCGGTCCTGTTCGGAGAAATTTTTAGAATTGTACTGAAGTTCGGAGATCACTAAAATTCGATTTTCAGAACTGTATTAAAAAATCTGTTCGGTCTTGTTCGGAGATTTTTATTTTTGGTTTGATTTTGTTTTCGGGACTATGGGAACGGTTCGGATATTCAGAGATTTTGTATCATTTTTAAATTTTTTTTTGAATGATCATCTAGTTATATTTTATTTTTTATATATATTTTTTTTTAAAAAAATTCAACATTCATCAATACTTTATCATACTAAAGATTTTATTTTTAAATCAACTTTAGAAGTAACCCTAAATTTTAGATAAGAGTAAATTCAACTAACATTAAAAATTTAAAATTCAAACAAAATATAATACAATTATATATTAAAGTAATATTTATTTAACCTTCCATACCATGTTAGTTATAGGGTAAACTACAACTAAGTATTGATAATTTTAAGTAAAACTTAAATATTTTTATTTTTTTATATCTTTAATATTTTATTCCATTTTAATTTTTTTTTTAAATAGGAGAAATTCAATTGTAGATCAAATATTACTAAATATGAAATGTAACTGAATCTTAATTGTTATTACTATATTTTATTTGCATTTTAAAAATTCTCAAATTATATAGGATCAAAATTGAAATAAAATATATTAATAACACGCATCTATTTTTATAATTCGGTTCTTCGGTTCGGTACGGTACGGTACGGGACGGTTCGGTTCGGTTCTCGGTACGGATATTTATGAAATATTCAGAACCGTACAAATTATTTTTTCAGTTGGGTTCGGTTCGGAGAAAGTCAAATGGTGAACAAATATTTTTCTGTTCGGAGTGATTTCGATTCGGTTTTCGGAACGATTCGGAATTCTCCGAGTCTCATGCTCACCCTTAACAAGGACAATTTTTGGAGAATTCTCATCTTTTTTTTTTGTTCCAACAGCAAATGATAAAATATATTAACTCAAAGGTACATAATTAGGTGCAATATTCTCTTGTTACAACCCAAGAGAAGCAACAAACAAACACGGGCAGATATTATATTGATAATGTCTACAATAGTCTTGCAATTCCAGGTCCATGAAATTATCCTCTAGTGTTGGTCAGCTGCCTATCTTAAGATCCACATAACGGCAGCAATGTTGGCCTCCACTGAACTCTCAGAGAAATATTTAGTTTGTTTATTTCCTAGTATTATTTAGTTTGTCCATGAAATTTGACCGGCTTCGTTTTTAGTTTGTTTATTTCCTAGTATTATTTAACCTTTTATTTTATTTCCTTAGTATTGATTATTATTGATAACTAAATAATAATTATCTAGCCTATTTGTTAGGCAAGATAAGTAGTAATAAGGAAAGTAGGATTCTTATATATTTGGCCTTCATCTGTTCGAGAGGAGCATACGTTTTATTCATAAGATTATCGATATTTCACGTGATTTTATATCTCGTATCCCTTTTTGTCTACCACGCTCTACATCACTTATGTTGCAAGTTTCCACCCACCAACTACCAAAACCTGCTCTATCTGTCTCTATTCTATCCCAGCAAACACCTACCATCACAATAATGCGATCAACGATATACCATTAAACTAATTAAACGTGTGTAACTTTGGTAAATAAAACCCTATGTCGATCTAGGAACAGAAAGTGAAGTTATAAACTGCTTGACAATCTTAGTTATTTCAATCCACGAACAGAAAATCGGCCAAATGAAAATAACACCATTGTTCCAAAAAATGTCAGTCAGTTCTCATACACTGAATAACAACAATAAATCACCATGAAGGAGAGAAACACAAATTTACATCACCACCGAACATAAACTCGATTCAAAAGAACACAGAAAACTACAAACCCAATAATATCCTCATATAAACCCACCCACCTGCTACAGCCGCCCGAAATGCAGATAATAAATAATCAAACCAACACAAAAGAATCCACCAGCAAAGAATAGGAACTGAAAATACGTACAAAAGAACCCCTCAGTAATAAAACTGCGGCTATCTTGCTCCAGGCAAGCAATGGCAACACAACAAAACAAATAAATATAGAATATCAGAGCACAAAGGCCACAAGCAGAAGCAGAATGAGGGTTGACGTGCTGGCGACAAGTGTCTTCGGCTGGCCGTTGGGCCGGGCCGGACCCTGGGCCGGAGGCGGGCTCCCTGGCGGTGGCCTTAAGACCACTGAGGGCAAAGGAGGCTCAGTCACATCTGTGAGTACCGGTAATGGAGCCTCAGCTGGCGGAAGGCTTTGGTTTGACATCAATCCAATAAGGCCACCGGGTGGAACGGGTTGCGTATACATTGGTGGATTAGTACCATTGTACCCTAAACACCGGTTCCCTGTACACCCAAATTTCATAACAGTTTAAAATTAAATTGATGAAGGCTATGTTTGGTAATCAAATAAGCTAGCTTATAGCTTATTTCGTTAGGTTGTAAGCTTTCTGTATTCAAATAAGCTTCATTTTGTAGGACGAGTTTATCTCATAAGCTTCTTTGAGTAGTTTTTCAGATAAGCACGTTGAAATTTTTATTTCTGCTAGCTTATCAGCTAATTTTACCAAACATTTTTATCATATAAGCTAGCTAACTAGCTTTTCAGTTATAAGTCATACGTTATAAGCTCGAAAATCACTGATAAGCCATAAGCTAGCTTATCAGCTAATTTTACCAAACATAGCCGAAAAACAGTTACCCGGGAATTTGTGAAGAAAACTTACTTCTGTATCTATTGGCGGTTGCCGGGAATTCGGTGATGAGGCCATTGATCCCTTTGGCGGCCACGTAATTGTTGATCTCGACGTAAGGGTCGGACAAGAAGTCCCAGGCTTGGGATGGGTACTCGTTACGGAAGAGGCGCACGTAAACGGTGAGGTTGAACCTCTGCAGCCTTTCCACCACGTCCGTTTCTCCCTTCACAAATAACTCATCTGTCGGGAAAACCGAGCGCTTGGACACAACTACTGATCGGGCAAAGCGCTGTATCTCTGAGATGGTGGAGTCGGGCACGGCGCCCACGTCCTCGTCTACGTCGTATACGAGCTCGTACGGCACGCCCGCGGCCGTGACGTTCCTAAGAACCGAGCTGTCGCTCGACTCGATTAGGACCCGTTTGGATGTCTGGTTGTTGTAGCCACTACTACTCAGGGCCGACAGGACAGCGTCTGTCATGCCTAACCCCTGGTTCTCGGCTAGGTATGCCGCGTTCTAGGGGGACATGGATAATGTTGGATTATGTTTGAATTGTATGCAAATTTTTTATGATTTTGTTACACACTAATTTCTTTTTTGTTTATTTATTGATACTAGGTGTATCAATTCTAATTTGTTATGGGCAAAAATGCTTTTTTAGTCATGTTGGTTTAATGCGATAGCAATTTTAGTCCCAAGGTTCGATCTTTTCGCCTTTTGATCTTGTGAGTTAATATTTTGCTGCAATTTCAGTCCTCCAAAACTTCCAAAACTTCAAATTACAGGACTGAAATCGCAACAACATTTTAAATTATAGGACTCAAATTGCTAATAAATTTGGGAATTTGTGGCAATTTCAACCAAAAGGCAAAAAGTTAAAATCTTGGGACAAAATTTGCTATCACGTTAAACCAACAAGACTAAAAATGCAATTTAGTCTTTGTTATGTTACTTGCTTTCGTTGTTTATCTAACTCTAAGCAAACCATTTGGTAATATTTTGGGAATTTGCAATCACGTTAAACCAACAAGACTAAAAATGCAATTTAGTCTTTGTTATGTTACTTGCTTTCGTTGTTTATCTAACTCTCAGCAAACCATTTGGTAATATTTTGGGAATTTTTATCTGAAACTTGGTAAATGAATTGGTAAATTTTCGTAAATACAGGTAATTTATGTAAGAAAATAGGTAATATTTGTCAGTTTAAGATAATAATTTTTTTCCGATGGGTTATTGTCAAAAAAATAAGTTCTACCGTGTGGACTTGTGGACAAGTATTCGTTAATTAACATAAATGAATCTAACTGTTTTTGCCATTGCAATCAAAAGACTCACCTCGATGCTGATAAGGATTCCAGACACGGAAGACTGATTGTTGGCAAATGCCAAGAAATCGGATAGCTGCATAAAGTTCCCATCATTTCTTGCAATTGGATTCCGGAATAGTGCATATCCGTCCACATATGGATTGGAAATAGCAGCTGAACATAGTAAAAGAAGATGCATTACTGTAGATACTAACAGCATGCCTTCATAAATCAAATGAACATCAGAATGTGGAACAAGATCCACTAAAAGGAGGGGAGAAATGAAAATATACAAGTGTTGTTCCCGAGCTTCACTTACGTCTCAACGTCTGAATTTCACTCCATGTGAGGTTATAGGTAAAAATTCCATTCTGTATGTGGAGATCCGGATTATCAGTAGCCCGATTTGCGAGAGGTGATTGGGCAATATTTGTTCTGTTCCTGAGATCGATCGATCCCAAACAGAAAGGCACTCCATCACTCGACATTTGAACAGGGCAGTCGAGTATATCTGCACCATCTGATGCAGCTTTTATGTACGCAACATCCGTACAACCGGGATAGTCCCCACTTGCTCCCTCACTTGAGATAATTGTAATATTTGCTGCATTAATTAAAGACAAAGGCAACAAAAAGGATTTTCTAAGCATTAGTCACTGTTGAAATGTGCACGACTGAAGAAACTAACAAACTCTGCTCGTGCAAGTGTTGTCGGCTCACCTATAATAGTGTCGTTTCTGCGCATGTGAGAATAGCAATCTGCGACATCGATGATTGAACAAATTGTTACAAATGGAGATAAGTAATATAGCCAATCATTACAGCAGAGCATGCGGAGTGAGGACACGTTGTTAAAAACGTCGAAATATTAAGATCACTTTCAAGACTAAAAATTCGTCATCAGAAGAAATAAAGACATGGTTAATACTCTAAGTTTATAGATTGCAGGAAAATATCACCAGAGAGTTTATCAATACGTATATCTTCTTTCTTTGATGCAGACATCTTCAATAGTTCTTAATATAAACCAGTGACCAACATCTGAAAGCGAATATATGCTTCACTTTCTCCTTAACTTTAGTGACAAGAGCAAAAGAGAGAAAAAAAAAAAAAGAAGAGGTCATTCTTTTTCTTACCTATGGTTGTAGATGGGGTAAGTGGGAAGTCCGAAAGCACACCATCAACAGAAAATTGACCGTTGTCAATGAAGGAGAGATACTCGGAAACAGGGTCATAGCTGTAATTATAAGGTAAAGATGCATCATTCGCAAACCCAGAAGCAAAAACCTCCAAACCCGCTCTATGAGCATCTGCCACGAGAGAGGTGTAGTTGAGTAAATACTGTCTGTTGTCCACTGGCCATATGTAATTTTTGGGAACAAGAATTCCATCTGCGAAGCTTCTGATTGCCGTGAGATTGTTCAAAAATGAGCTGTATGTTTGGTTGGTCGTGGGCTCAGTGTCAGTGGGTCCCAGAAATAGGAAGACGAGCCTTGTTGTGCCCACTCGATTTCTGAGGCTTCTCAAGAAGCCCACTTCAGGCGATGAAATATAATTAATAATAACACCACTGGAACGTCTATACAGACTGAGAACATATGACCTCATGCTCAGATTATGCTGGCTGAAAAATGTGTCATACTGCACAAATGATATTTGGAATGAAAAATAAAGGTAGTCAGGTGTTGTCAGGTAATAGTTAAGATGACTACAGACACTTCCCAGGAATTTACCTAAATAATCAGCCCCTATATACTAATTCAGAATAAGTCTACCTTACGTGCCTGATTTACATGAAGCTTCAGCTGCCTAACAACAAAATAATCTCTAGTTATCTCTGCAAAGAACCTAAACTTAAAGCATTGCAAATATTTACATTTACCCTAGCATTATATATCTTGAAGGAGCAATATACTTGGTATATACCTGCTTGAAGGAGCAAATTGTAAAATATTATTATTCTGAAACATATATTTGGTATTCCTGTACGGGGTAGATCATATAATCAAACCCTAACAAAAATCTGGTTGAACTGTTAAGAAACTTTTGCTTCATATACCTGTATATTCAACCATAATCCGGATGGTGGATCTGGTGGGTTGTTGTATACCATTTGCGGAGTGAGAATTTGCAGTTCAACATGATCAAAATAGGGTGGCCTAGAAAAAATCGCCTCTTTCACTGTTTTGATTAGAAAAACAGTAAGCAAGAATGCATTGAAAATACTTGATCATTACACAGGCCAAAAAGTAGGTTACAAATCCAGTCAAAGAAAGTCTTTACAGGAACCTCTGGTTGCAAGATAACAAAATTCGAGCAGTGGCATTATAGCATTGAACAAAAAACTTACGTGATACGTTGTCAAGTTCACTGAAGTCAAAATCCAAAGTGAAATATCCTTGCATCCGGACACCATTGACAACATAGGTGTTGCTGCTCCTGTTTGGATAAATAACATCTGTGTCTGATGCGTTTTGTAGCATGAGGCTGGGAAAGCAAATTCCAACCCCGTCTCTTGTAAGCTTCACATCACACGAAACGAGAAGATTTGGCAAACCCATCTGCACCGCGAATGAATATGCAAGAGTACTTGAATCGGGGAACACTCCAGAAAATCCACCTCTTGCTAACACAAGGGGAGGATCACCTGGAAATAGAAAACTGAAAGGTTAACTTCTTGGACTTGCTCAGGCTTGTAGTCTAGTACTTCTTATCAAGAATGATACTGAATCATAATTTTTCCAAAGAGACGAAGGGCCTTGATATAAGATCTTTTCCACTTCCCTCCGAATTGCTATGCTCTTGTTTGAGAAATGCAAAAAGAATAAAAAATAGTAACAGAAATGGAGAAAACACGAATTTCTCAGAAAAGCAGCCAAAAACTATATCAGAAATCTTACGAACTAGAAATTAATCGTAGAATGAAGTATATCTTATATGGAAAATATGACCACGTTAACCTGAGTTTTCTGAAAATAGAAAACCTCTCTCCGCTTCTATTTCTCAGGTTAGACCGAAGTAAAAAGTAGAAGGAAATGGGCGAAATTATAGGAACTGTCACGGAAAAGAAGATTTCGGACCCATGACCTTTAAAATCTACACTTTTCACTACAATACAACTTCCACCCGCCGGCCCAGCGAAAGACACATCCAGAATCCAAATCAAAATCCTCAACAATATTTCATATTCAGAAAATCGATGAATAAAACCTCCCATTTTCACATTTCTCCCCATTAATAAAACCCAGAAAAAAAAAATTAGTAGACAACACGTCTCGCCTTCTGGGAATAACAATAGAAGTCAAGATCTACACAGCCCACAGCATAATCAAACAGACCACACCACCACGAGAGAGAGAGAGAGAGAAAGAAAGAGAGAGAGAGAGAAAGAGAGAGAGAGAGAGAGATCTTACCGGTAAGCGTCTGCCATCTGCTAGCGCCTCTCGTAGATCGCTGGCCGGAAACTAAAGCTGGCGATGAGCAAAGCAGGAGAAAGCAGAAAAAGCCAAAGACTGCCCGGAGCTTCCACATTTCCGGCGCCGTGTTCCGCCGGTAACTTGGCCAACTAAAGTGAGCTGCTACCACGCGTGATTTTTCCCCTGGTAATGCTATCGGAAAATGTGAAAACAGAAAACAATGACAGCGACTTACACTGAAGAAACAGGAAAAAATTTCCAAAACTCTCTCTCTCTCTGAGCAGATAGAGAAGGATGACTTTTTTGTTTGTAATTGTTTCAATCTGTGAACGAACAAAGGTTGTGTCGAGACTTTCAATAATGTGTTCCGAGTTTTTATTGATCTTCTGGTCAATAAAGCTTTATAGTTTACTTATTTAATTTTGGAGAGAGATAGATTGATAGATAATGAAGAGATTGTTATGTTTGGCATGTATGTATGCTAATAATCGATAGTAATAAAATTAAATTAAGGTGATTGATAGATGATAGATCGTTGAGATATTATGTAAAATACGGTTGACAATAATAAGAAGTGTCCAGCCTTTGCATTTCTGTTTTCCACTCGTTTCTCTTTTTTCTTTTTATTTATTTTTTATTTTATATTTTTTGTGTATTTTTTCATCGAAAGCCAGCGTAGCATCAGGCAATAGCTTTTTAACGAATTTACATATTTAATTTTCCGCCCGTATATTTTTTTTATTATTTATGAATGTGATTGAATAAAAAATAGGCTCTTTTATACATCACTATGATAACATAAATTGCTTTCGAACCGAGTCAAGTCGGTAACACCATAAACGGTTATTCATCTTGAGCTTTAGTGACCTGTAAAATACGCTGGAGAAGGTTTTGGCAGAAAAATCTCTGATGCTCTAGTCAGAATCTCGCTTTGACTATGCTGCAGAATGTATGTAAAGGCATAGAGCTAACATTTCATGACTGAAAACTGAAAATCGAACTGTAACAGACGAGAAAATAAACCGAACCGAACCATACCGACTCATTTATAATGGTAATCGATTATCGGTTACCGATTTGTTATTGGTTCGGTTTTACCGAACCGAACCGAACCAAACTGATAAAAAATTAAAAAAATAATTAAGATGAATGTGGTGAATGAATGTTGTTGGTATTATTGGTAAATGAATGTTGAAATAATGTTATATTGGGTTGTTGGGCCTAATCATGTTGGAACATGGTGGATGAATGTTGGGACTTAATCAAGTTGCACTATTATTGGTGAATTTCCGTTTTTTAGTTTTATCGATAAGAAACCGTTACCGAATCGAGTTTTCGGTAACACAAAGTTCGGTTGCCGATTGCAATCGGTTCGATAATGGTTTCATATTTTGTTGTTGCCAAAATAATTGGCTCGGTATAGGTATCGGTTTGATTTTATCTGTTCGGTAACCGAACAAATATCAACCCTATAAAGGCATAATAATGTGTTATGTAAAAATAGAACTTGGTAAATCCTTATATATTTGGGTTATCTTATTGCTCAAGTAGAGTCTTTGCTAGGAAAGAGTACCTTATTTCATAACTTAACACGTCTTTGAAATATCGGACTCCTTAGCGAGATACACCTATCATACTTGGTAGAATTGTCCCTTTTTACCATACGACTCTTAGGTCCCCGAATCGTCCTAGCGACCTCACGACCTGCCTTCATGATGGGTCACTACCCAGGTTTGGATAGATCCGGTTGAGGTGAGCTTCGATCCACCCGAACTACTGTGCGTGTACCTGCAAGAACTCAACGCCAGAGGGGATTCTGGCGAAGAGTCTCCGATGCTTAAGTCAGTCTCTGGAAGATGGTAGAAATGCTTTGTAAATGAGAGCAATATGTAACGTGTGGAGAATGTAAAGTTAGGGTTTTGGTGATACCTCGGTCCATTTTATAGGGAAATATCTGCCCGAAATATTCGATCCAGTTGCTTGTGGGCAGCCTGTCCAGCTGCCCTGACTTAGTGCTTATTCATATCCTATTCATCCTAGTCATCTTAGATTTCTTCTTATCTCCTTAAGATTCATACTTATATTTTGTATCCATTGGCCTTAGGTCGTGATCCAACCTGAGATCATCCACTCCGTGGTCTACCTCGAGCTGTAAAGTGAGTTAGGTCGTCATGGTAGAGGTCGACTTAAGTTATATCCTGAGGAACGACTCACCTGATATCCTCCTAAGAGGGTTAGGTTGTCCTCTGGTCTCAGGTCATTATCCTTCAAGTCGTTTTTAGGGTTCTCAGTTCACTTTATGTCATCTCCTAACTGCTATGGACCACTAGGTCCTCTTAATCATGAGGTCGTCATGTTCTCCCCATTATTCTCCCTTTGGAACAACCTAATCGGGTCGTCTTTTGCCTTAGTCAAGCTCCCTACGCTTGTAATGATCCGGTCTATGCATATATGGCTATATCACTGCCATAGGCTCTAACTAGGTCGAAAGCCCGACCTTTACTTATACAACCTCTAGGTCGTAACATCCCTCATCTGTCCAAGCTCCTGAACGAGTTCATCCCTATGTCTTCTAACCGAGTTAATTGTACTCTGTGCTGCCTAAGCGAGCTCCCTAATGAGGTCAGACGTTGATATCGAGCTAAATCTGCCTTGAACCGGTCATACTCGAGCTAAGCAGGCCGGTTCAACGAGCTATTCTAGGTGTTATATCATCTAGCCCCCTCATTCTTGAACAAACTACTAGGTCTTGTGCAGGAATGATGTCTCATCACAGCAATCAATCTGGCTTTCAACCTTAAATGCCTTTTATTACTCGAGCTAGGGAGTCACGCCGGTAAGAAACACTTTAAACCCTAAGATGCATCTGTCACTTTGGATCGATGATTTGTATTTATCATGATTTTGTTTGTTGCAAACTTGATGACTTGTATAAAGTTTTTGACGACATTTTTGTATAAAGTTTTTGCAACAGGATGTTACAACTTTTTATCTTTTTTCATGACAAGTTTTATAGCTAAATCCGAAGACAAAAAAAGAAAAAAAAATTCCGTAGTGTGTGTGGAATCTAATATTTAAATATGTTGGAATATATCACTTATGAGTTGTCCCACATTAAATCTATAGAAAAAATGGGCATAGTTTATATGCCTAGTGGGTTACTTCTTCCATCACTAATTAGTTTTGGAATGGAACCTCACTATGGTGCACCTAGACCCACTCTCTTATGGTGTGCTTCACTTGTGTGGGACTGCACCCTCTTGCCCCGATTACAAATCTTACATGGTATCAGAGCCAAGCCAACTCCAGTCTGGGGCTATATCTCTACTCGACCTGCTCGGGGCTACGGCTCTTAATCTCTACTTGACTTGCTCTGGGCTAGGATTTATGAAGGACCCACAAGTAAGAGGGCGTGTTGGAATATATCACTTGTGAGTTGTGTCACATTGATTCTATAGGAAAAATGGGTATAGCTTATATGCCTTGTGGGCTACTCCTCCCATTACTAATTGGTTTTGGGATGAAACCTCACTATGGTGCACCTAGGCACACCCTCTTATGATGCGCTTCACTTGCATGGGACTGCACCCTCTTGCCCTGATTATAAATCTTACAAAATTCGAAGCTCCAACACTTAATCGCAGTGCCACTGATTGTATGGTATCTACTATTTATTTCCTCCATTATTAAAAAAATCTTGCATTCTCCACTGTTCTCAGAGGTGGCCAAATATAAAAAGTTTTGATTTTGTTTGGATTTTTTGGTTTAATGATGCAGATAGAGCATTAGTTTAAGCATTATTTCTATGTTTATTTCTTGCTGAACAAGTTAGGTTTAGGGTTTTAGGAGTCTTATTTAATGACTCATTCTTCTTTGTTATTGGGGAGTTGTTTTATGAAATAAGAGATTGATCGAGTTTATCATGTTTTGCAATTAATATCTCATTTTATTCTTCTCACTCATACGCTTCCCCTACATCAGTTGGTATCAAAAGTCAATATGATTCGCGATGCCGCCGCGACGACAGGATGCATCAAACAAACAACGTGGCGCGACCTTCAACGATCGATTTCAATAGATTGACGATCGGTTTCAGCAGTTGGTCGAGCGTTTCACGGATCGATGTGCGGATCTTTCGACGACAATCGATGATTTGCATCTGAAGCTCAGTGCCATGGTTCGAGACAAGCAAATCTACATGACACCGGCAACTAGGGCATGCGCGGGGGATTTAGCGGCCTAAGTGGTCTAGATGGGGTGCCCCGCCGGTAATCGCCACAATCGCCGCCCGTCGATGAAGACGACAAGCATCAGCGCTGCGACTAGGGCCTGCAACGCGAGGTCGCGACCTTCAATGATGAGCATGAGCATCGCGAATGGAGCTAGCAACGCGATGGCGTGGGCTTTGCTAGTGAATCGCAGCAACGGCATGTCCTTTGTCGTGCGATGGAGGGTTACGACGACCGTTTTCTGGAATGTTGCCGCATAGAGGGATTTGGCGGCCTGATTTTTTGCAATCAGCAACGGCGCATGGGCATTGAGGATGAACCCTTGCAGGGCGAGCCACGGCACACAACAGGTACTGTTTTCGAGAGCCAAGGCCACGACGATAGGTAGACGAGGAATTCGTCGGTGATGAGCACCAGGGGTGCCGTGTGCACGCGGCCCAAGGAGCAATTTTTGGCACGACAAAACCCTAAGCGACTTCTAATTTCATGAGCAGAGGCGACCAGCAGGTAGGTTTCCTGCAGCCTGGGAGTACGATGGTCGACACGCGCGCTGGGGACTGCGCCGATGTTCCTAGGCGTGACCGGCGCTGGGGCCGACGATGGATGCAGCAGCCTAGACCCGAGAACTGCAGCGCCTGCCTGGGAGATTTGGCGGTGTTCGGGATTTGTTCGCCGATAGGTGACCTAGGCGACCATTCGCTTTACGACGACCCTCCAGTTTTTTATGAGGCACCCTCGGAGGCGGTGGAGCATCTTACCGGTGACATGGGCAGCTTTTACAACGGACTATCGATTTTCAATGAGGAGCAACTGGGACCAGAGGAAGAGGAGGCCTACGGTCCTCTTAGAATTAATGAACTAATGACGAGTGACTCAACAAATGTACTTTCCCTAGGACATTGAGTGAGACAGTCGTGGCAGATTCATTATTTAGACATATTTCAGCTGCTAAAGGAAGGGTTATCACTACCCAGTTTACTTCAAATATACATAGACTTGGTAGTGTAAAAGCTGCAACATATCTCTAAAGGAAGTTGGTATTTGTTCATGGTTCATTTGAGAAGGCTTTAAAAGGAAAAATAAGAATTACCACAAGGTACTCATGGCATGGTACAGGAAAACTTTTGGATGCACTTCATAATGTTGCCCATGCTGACATAATTGGGCGACATTTAACCTTTGTGGTTTATAGGGGGAAAATAATTGGGCAACATTTAATCTTTGTGGTTTATAGGGGGAAAATAATTGGGCAACATTTAACCTTTGTGGTTTATAGGGGGAAAACGTCAGACGATTCCTGCCATGAGTATGACTCCGGTGTCAGCATGTTTTGTG